ATGAACTTAAAAAAGAGTTAATATTAATAAACGTACTGCCCTCACTCATATTCTGAACAAATATATAAACTTTATTGTTAATCTGATCGATACATTTGTTTAGAACTGTTCTATTTCCCCACAGAGGTAATAATAGAATGATTAAATTTGTTTTTGTTCCTATTTGCCACAAACACAGTTTCGGTTTCCTCTCCCTTGCCCCCCATTAGGGCATTTCTCAATCCCCCGCTGATGACGACATAGTCTTTTTGGTTGGAGTCCTTTGTGAGGTTCTGGAGATCTTCTACAATGTTCTCCAAACATGCATTCTGTTTCACTATTGTAGACCGGTGAACATTTTCAGAAATTTTACTCCGGCATTTCGTGCGACATTCGGCAACTTGACGTTTTTAGGGTATTTCGACCCCACTGAATCCAAATCTGGGTGTTGCCAAGCCGAATTCTTCCTCCAAAGGCCTCAAATCCAAGATGGCGGCCAAACTAAGGGCCTAAATGACATTTTTTTTGAAGTGTATTTGTTTTGACCGGCGAGATGTCGTTTCATATGTTTTTGCGGTCGCTGAACATGAATATGAGTACCGGAAGTCGATTCGGATACCCGGAGTACCATAATTCAAGATGGCGGCCGTCGGGGGCCTGAAAACAGAACTTTCAGTTAGCATATTGTCAAGTGCGGCGTATCGGCACATATGTTTTTGACGTCGACTAGATCAAAAATTAGCACCAGAAATCGATTAGGCAACCGGAAGTACCGTAATCCAAGATGGCGACCAGTTGGGACCCAAATATCAAACTTTAAAAAGTTGCTATAATATGACATGCTGGGTATGACCACAAGTGTTTTGGAGATCGCTGAACACGAATTTGAGGTCGGAAAAGCGATAGGAAACATGTTAACACAGGCTTGCCGAAATAAAATAGTACAAATATACTTTGAGCGGTTAACATAGTAATCATATTGAAGGTCGCGCATTCTTTTGATCTTAAAATATATTTCGATAGGTATTGTAAATAATTTTAAGCAAATAAATATTTTAAACACGCTCTCATCCTGGGTTCTTTAGGGATCAGAGAGACAGAAGAGAACTGTATCTTCACGCCCAATTCGTAAGGCTTTAACGTCAAGAACAGTGCCTCTTCCTAAGAATTGGTCCAACTATGTCGCGCTTGATGAGAACAAAGCTGAGTTAGCAGCTTTTATTTCAAATGAAATATTGACAGCCGATTACGGGCAGACTGTAGTGGTTTTCGCTGGAGGGTTCGCTGACGAACGACAAGTATCTGCTAATCTGCTAGCAATAAGATGGATTGCTTTTCCTTGCAATTTACGCACGAAGAGGCTGATATGCGTATTATCCTCCATGCAGTAAACAGTACACACAGTAGAGTTGTCGTGTCTGCAAGAGACACAGACGTATTTGTTTTGCCTGCACCGTTTTAAGAGAATGAAATGCAAAAAATATTTCATGATAACTGGTACGGCTAAGGACAGAAAGTACGTACCTATTCATACAGTTGCAGCGTCAATGTCTCTCAGTGAGCAAAACAATATCCTTATATTCTATGCGCTGACCGGTTGTGACACTAACTTATTCATAGCAGGTCGGTATCCAGTTTACTTTTTTAACGTATATTTTTGCTACACTAGACACTTATTTAAATTCATATTACAGGTATAGAAAAGAAAGGTGCTCTAGTTGTATATCGTACACATTCCAAGCTTCTTGATGGACTCGCAGTTGCAGAAGTTCAGGAGAGATTTTTGTCAAAGTACGAGTTCATGGTACTTTTGTACAAGAGAATCGAAAATACCTGCGATGAAGCGAGACACATTCTTTTTGGAAATGTTTCAAGTCCTGAATTGCTCCCAGCTACGTCTGATGCAGCACGTATTCACATTCTCCGAGCCACCTACCAAGCCAGGGTCTGGCTGAATGCACATATAGCAAGGCAAGACCTTCCTGATTTTTGCCGGTACGGATGGCGTCTGGAGGAGAATTACATCCGAGTCTACAGCAGCGGTGCCTAAGTCCTACACGCAGTTACTGAGTCAGGTTGCTGCAGATCAGGGTCGGCACAGGCTTGTGCAAGTGAAGGTGGGAGGGAGAGGTCTGTACCAAGTTGTGCAAGTTTCAGCAAAACAACAATGACAGTGATGATGTTTTCATGTAAAATGTTTTGTGCAAAAGTTGTACTATTTTATTTCGGCAAACCTGTGTTAACATTTTTCCTATGATTTTCTGACTTCAAATTCGTGTTCAGCGACCTGCAAAACACTTGTGGTCATACCCATCACGTCATATTATAGCAACTTTTTAAAGTTTGGTATTTGGGCCCCAACCGGTCGCCATCTTGGATTACAGTACTTCCGGTTGCCTAATCGATTTCTGGTGCTCATTTTTGATTTAGTCGACGTGAAAAACATATATGCCGATACGCCGTACTTGACAATATGCCAACTTCTCAAAATTCTGAATTTAGGTCCCCGAGAGCCGCCATCTTGATCTTATGGTACTTCCGGTATCCGAATCGACTTCCGGTGCTCATATTCATGCTTAGCGACCCCAAAAATATATGAAACGACATCTCGCCGGTCAATAACGATACACGTTAAGAAAAATGTCATTTAGGCCCTTAGTTTGGCAGCCATCTTGGATTTGAGGCCTTTGGAGACAAAATTCGGCTTGACAGCATCAGGATTCGGATACCCTACAAACGTCAAGTTGCCGAATGTCGCACGAAATGCCGCTCGGAGTAAAAAAGAGTGCGATTTCTGGGAATGTCCACCAGTCTATTGAGATTACACTATATTTTTCCAGATCCATTTTCCTTTTGCAGAATTTTTTGCATATCAGCAATAGTGCTATCTCCAATAATGATAATTTTTCCGAAATTTACCTTAGCTTCGCGCTGTTGTCTAGATTGTTGCTTTTGTTCTGTGGACAGACCAAGATTACATTGGGTTTTTGCATCATCAGTCACATCTTCTCTTGTGCTTTTCTTGGAAGTATTTTGTTGAAGAGCTTTGCAGGTGAAATAGTTCCTGTTGAGATTTTTTGTATTTCTTTACGAATATTTCATTGTCAGCAGTCAATGTTTTAACTGTAGATAACATATCATATTTTTTGTCGCAGTTAAAGCATCCATATCTAGTCTTTGGATTTTAAGTTTCGTCATCTCTATGTTGCCATTCATATCTCTCTAATTATTTGAAGGAGTTCTGAATTTTCCTTAATTAATTTAATTATTTCGGCTCTCTTTTTCTCTATTTCATTTCGGTGATTTTCCTTTGATGCGAACACCTCATCCTCAAAGTCTACTGTTCGTTTCTTTGTTCCCCTTAAACACTCCTCTATAATATTTTTTTCTTTATTCAGGTTCGCTATTTCATCATCCTTGGAACTGATTTTTTGCTGCTGCGCACTTATAATTCTTTCCATTCTCTCCATTTCCAGTCTTACATTTTTTTTCTCCAAACACGTTTTTCTAACTGTTTGATCAAGGTACCGGTCTTCTGTTGGGTGCTCACTACAGACAATAGCCCCATAGGTAAGCTTGGGCCTGATGATGGTTGTATAGATCCACAGAGCTACCTTGGAGGAGAACCTTCAGGTCTTACCGATAGTACGTCTACACTGTTCATAGGCGATATATGCTTTATGTATTCTCCTAACAATATGAGAGTTCCATGTTAGTTTGCAATCGAGTGTCACTCCCAGATATTTGACCTTGGTGGCAAAACTTAGTTCGGTGTTTAAGAGTCTGGATGCTGTTGGAAGTACCAGTTTCTTCTTTCTTGTGAATAGGGCCATTCTTTTTGGGGTTGATGGACAGAGTGTATTCGGTGCACCATCTTTCTATAATTCAAAGATCATATTGCATGCGTTCGCAAAGCGAGTTCTTGAATTTGCCTCTATGAAATAGATGACTACGTCATCTGCGTAAGCTATTGTGTAGTGGTCATTGTTTAGGCGGACAATGAGGCTGTCCAGAACCATGTTCCACAGTAACAGTTTCCGGAGTATTCCTTTCTGTTAGGGATTGGCTAATTTTTTGAAAGGTGGTTTTGTCAAAGGCCCCCTCAATGTCAATGAAAACTCCGAGGGCGGACTCTCTATTGTCCAGGTGGAGGACTGTGTCCTTTGATCTCCCGGGAGTGTATGTTTGTTGTTTAGGGTGAAGTGGATTGGTTGACAACACTTCATCCCTTATGTACCTTTCGCATAGCCTCTCCATTGTGTTTAGAGAAAATGATGAGAGGCTTTTGGGGCGATATGCCTTGGGGGTGGTGTAGTCCATCCTCCCTGTTTTGGGTCGTAACACCACTTTAACTTCTCTCCAAGCTTTGGGTATGTATCTCAGCGCCAAGGACACCCTGAACATCCCTACCAAGTGGCATTGATGGAATGATTTTTTTTTCAAATATAACTTTAAATGAAGTCGAGAAAAATTAAAAACAATTTTATTAATTAACTAATTATCTCATGCTTATCCTCTTATTTATTTTCCATCCACTTTTTCAATGCTAAAATATCCCGATGCCTAAATATTTAACTTTCCACTTCTAAACCCCTGCATTCAATCTCCAATATTTACACTCATTTTAAAACTCTCATTTCTTGGAGCAAATAAAATCTCCTTTATATTTAAAAAAAATAAATGAATTTCGAAAAATAAATTAAAAAGATTCCCAGGAAAATCTTCAATTATTCAATGGCCGGTAAGTAACTTATTTTTGAAGCTTATTGACGAAGAATAACAAGGTTCGGAAAGGGCAACAGGGCAAATTCAATATTGTTTGAACGATAGTTTCGATTACTGGCCTCTGGTGGGTCAGCCAATTTTGGAGAGCATCGGAGCCCGAATTAAAGGTAAACTTTGGCTTATTGGATAAATTGTTTGGTGGAACGAGAAATGATTGGTTATATAAATAAATTGAATGCAATGCAATGTTATAATTTGAACAAATTTGGCTAAACATAAACTTCTTTTTATTTCAGTTCTTGACTATAACCTCTTGGATGCAGTCACTATTCCACTTCAAGACCCGAAAACTCAATATGTGGACGAAAGCGAAGACGGTTTTCCCGCTTTCGGTTTCCGGGCGGGAGCCGACGTGAAAATGGCTTACAAACAAATTTTGCCGGACTCGTTGAGCGAAGAATTTTCCATCCTGCTTAACGTCAAACCGAAAACCAGCAAAGGTGGCTTCGTGTTTGCTATAATTAATTCTATGGAGACCGTTGTAGAATTGGGTAAGAATAATTATTTCACTTAATAGAAGAAACTTTTAGGTACTCTCAATAATCGGGCACACATTTCATTATGATTTGAAAAACGCTCTCACATAAATCATGTCGCTGTATAATTCATCGCTATAAATTTCACAAACGTGTTTTTTTTTCGTCCACTTTACCCCAAAGGCCCAGAGACACGCGCTTGTTCAGCCCTTGTTCAATTTATTAATACAAAAAAATGTCGAGCAGCTAATATATCACTCTGGATACAAGGAGTTCATTATAATAGAAAAATGAACAAAAGCCTCAAAATTGATTAAATAATTTACGGTTACATGTCAAATTCGAATGAGCTCGCACAAGGATATTTGGTTTTCAACTTAATCTAATTTGAAATTATTTCAATTATGTAACGAATATCTAATAGTTTCAATCGATCGGTATCAAATTAAATTTAATCAGATCATAAAACCTCATTCGATTAGGGTGTTGTTTTTGGCAATTTGGTAAATTAATGAAATTGTTTCAAACTAAATCCCTAGTGAAGTTATTTGGAAACATTACAGACATTGAAACATACAACATGCGGTTATACATAGTAATGAAAGCAAGGAGTTTTACAATTTCTATTTATTTTCAACTAGAAAATTATAATTCTTTATTGTCTGGCTAGAAGTAAACTGATGTTTTTTGTAATCTACTGATTATTTTAGAGTTGACTTTGAGTCTATAATGCCCATTCTTGAATTGAATTCAATTAGAAAAGCATCTTATTCCTGGCTCTTCTAAAGAAGCAAATCTTGATTTCTGCCTTTTCTACAGTTGAATTTGATCTGAGATGGCACATTTTTGATCCATCTCGAGATAAACTGCGTGTAAATCCTATTCCCGGCTTTCCTAGAACAGTAGACTCTAGTTTCTGAATATTATTTAATTAAGGTTAAAACTAGAAACGCGTGTATTTGCCATTCATAGCTCTTTCTAGAGCAGAAAACTCTGCTTTCTTACCATTCGGAAGTTGAAGTTGAGGCGAATCAGTCCTGACTTTGACTTCTCAACGATTCTTAGCATTAAAGAGTCCAAATTCTGAGGAACATTGAATTGATCAATCTTCAAAAAACTCAATACTGAAGACTCTGAGAGAAGATTCCTAATACTCCAAAGACTTGAAAACTATGAAAAATTGAATCAGAAAATTCCGAAGCGACTTCTTAGCATTGAAGAATCGATATTCTGAGGAACATTAAATTGACCCATTCTCAGTTCAAGAGTCAACACTGACTTCTCAAAACCACAAAGCATGAGATTTCGAATTCAGCCATCTCAAAAGAATCCAAGAGCAGATTCCAACTTCAAAAGACTCAATTATGAAGACTGAAAGAAGATTTCAAATACTCCAAAGACTGGAAAACTATGAAAAACTGAATCAGAAAATTTTGAAGCCACTTTTTAGCATTGAAGAATCAAGATTCTGAAGAACATAGAATTGACCCATTCTCAGTTCAAGAGTCAACACTGACTTCTCAAAACCACAAAGCATGAGATTTCGAATTCAGCAATCTCAAAAGGCTCAATTATGAAGACTTTGAGAGAAGATTCTGATACTCCAATAACTGGTAAACTATGAAAAATTGAATCAGAAAATTTTGAAGTGACTACTTTGCATTGAAAAATCAAGATTCTGAGGAACATTGAATTGACCCATTCTCAGCTCAAGAGTCAACACTGACTTCTCAAAGCCACAAAGCATGATATTTCGAATTCAGCAATCTCAAAGGACTCTGAGAGAAGATTCCAAATATTCCAAAGACTGGAAAACTATGAAAAATTGATTCAGAAAATTTGGAAAGACTTGATTGAAGAGTCAAAATTCTGAGGGATATTGAATTGATTCATTCTCAGTTCAAGAGTTAACACTGACTTCTCGAAACCACAGAGCATGAGATTACGAATTCCGAAGAATGGAAAACTATGAAAAATTTAATCAGAAAATTTTCACGCGACTTCTTAGTATTGAAGAATCGAGATTCTGAGGAACATTGAATTAACCCATTCTCAGCTCAAGAGTCAACACTGACTTCTCGAAACCACAAAGCAAGAGATTTCGAATTCAGCAATCTCAAAGGACTCTGAGAGAAGATTCCTGATACTCCAAAGGCTGGAAAACTATGAAAAATTGAATCAGAAAATTTTGAAGCGACTCTTAGCATTGAAGCGTCAAGATTCTGAGGAATATTGAATTGATTCATTCTCAGTTCAAGAGTTAACACTGACTTCTCGAAACCACAGAGCATGAGATTTCGAATTCCGAAGAATGGAAAACTATGAAAAATTTAATCAGAAAATTTTTAAGCGACTTCTTAGCATTGAAGAGTCAAGACTTTGAGAAACATTGAATTAATCCATTCTCAGCTCAAGAGTCAACACTGACTTCTCAAAGCCACAAAGCATGAGATTTCGAATTCAGCAATCTTCAAAGACTCAATACTGAAGACTCTGAGAGAAAATTTCAAATACTTCAAAGACAGGAAAACTATGGAAAATTGAATTAGATTATTTTGAAGTGATTCTTAGCATTGAAGAGTCAAGATTCTGAGTAACATTGAATTGAGTCATTCTCAGTTCAAGAGTCAACACTGACTTTTCAAAACCACAAAGCATGAAATTTCGTATTCAGCAATCTCAAAAGACTGTGAAAGAAGATTCCAAATACTCCAAAGACTGGAAAACTATGAAAAACTGAATCAGAAAATTTTGAAGCGACTTCTTAGCATTGAAGAATCGAGATTCTGAGGAACATTAAATTAAGCCATTCTCAGCCCAAGAGTCAACACTTACTTCTCAAAACCACAAAGCATGAGATTTCGAATTCAGCAATCTCAAAAGACTCTGAGAGAAGATTCCAAATACTCCAAATACTGGAAAACTATGAAAAATTGAATCAGAAAATTTTGAAGCGACTCTTAACATTGAAGAATCGAGATTCTGAGGAACATTGAATTGACTCATTCTCAGCTCAAGAGTCAACACTGACTTCTCAAAACCATAAAGCATGAGATTTCGAATTCAGCAGTCTCAAAAGGCTCAATTATGAAGACTTTGAGAGAAGATTCCTAACACTCCAAAGACTGGAAAACTATGAAAAATTAAATCAGAAAATTTTGAAGCGACTTCTTAGCATTGAAGAGTCAAAATTCTGAGAAACATTGAATTAATCCATTCTCTACTCAAGAGTCAACACTGACTTCTCAAAGGCACAAAGCATGAGATTTCGAATTCAGCAATCTTCAAAGACTCAATACTGAAGACTCTGAGAGAAGATTTTTAATACTCCAATGACTGAGATACTATGAAAAATTAAATCACAAAATTTTGAAGTGACTCTTAGCATTGAAAATTCAAGATTCTGAGGTACATTGAATTGATTTATTCTGAGCTCAAGAGTCAACACTGACTTTTCAAAACCACAAAGCATGAAATTTCGTATTCAGCAATCTCAAAAGACTGTGAAAGAAGATTCCAAATACTCCAAAGACTGGAAAACTATGAAAAACTGAATCAGAAAATTTTGAAGCGACTTCCTAGCATTGAAGAATCGAGATTCTGAGGAACATTAAATTAACCCATTCTCGGCTCAAGAGTCAACACTGACTTCTCAAATCCACAAAGCATGAGATTTCGAATTCAGCAATCTCAAAAGGCTGAATTATGAAAATTTTGAGAGAAGATTCCTGATACTCCAAAGACTGGAAAACTATGAAAAATTGAATTAAAAAATTTTGAAGCGACTCTTAGTATTGAAGAGTCAAGATTCTGAGGAATATTGAATTGATTCATTCTCAGTTCAAGAGTCAAGACTGACTTTTCAAAACCACAAAGCATGAGATTTCGAATTCAGCAATCTTAAAAGACTCTGAGAGAAGATTCCAAATACTCCAAAGACTGGAAAACTATGAAAAATTGAATCGGAAAATTTTGAAGCGACTTCCTAGCATTGAAGAAGCGAGATTCTGAGGAACATTAAATTGACCCATTCTCAGTTCAAGAGTTCTCACTGACTTCTCAAAACCACAATGAATGAGATTTCGAATTCAGCAATCTCAAAAGGCTCAATTATGAAGACTTTGAGAGAAGATTCCTGAAACTCCAAAGACTGGAAAACTATGAAAAATTCAATCAGAAAATTTTGAAGCGACTTCTTAGCATTGAAGATTCAAAACTTTGAAAAACATTGAATTGATCCATTCTCAGTTCAAGAGTCAACACTGACTTCTTAAAGCCACAAAGCATGATATTTCGAATTCACACTCTTTAGAAGACTCAATACTCAAGACTCTTAGAGAAGATTTTTAATACTCCAATGACTGGAAAACCATGAAAAATTGAATCAGAAAATTTTGAAGTGACTCTTAGTATTGAAGATTCAAGATGTTGGACCCTGACTTTTCAAAACCACAAAGCATGATATTACGAATTCAGCAATCTCAAAAGACTCTGAGAGAAGATTCCAAATACCTCACATACTAGAAAACTATGAAAAATTGAATCAGAAAATTTTGAAGCGACTTCTTAGCATTGAATAATCTAGATTCTGAGGAACATTGAATTGACCCATTCTCAGTTCAAGAGTCAATACTGACTTCTCAAACCACAAAGCATGAGATTTCGAATTCAGCAATCTCAAAAGGCTCAATTATGAAGACTTTGAGAGAAGATTCCTAATACTCCAAAGACTGGAAAACTATGAAAAATTTAATCAGAAAATTTTGAAGCGACTTCTTACATTGAAGATTCAAGACAAGAAACATTGAATTGATCCATTCTCAGTTCAAGAGTCAACACTGACTTCTTAAAGCCACAAAGAATGAGATTTCGAATTCAACACTCTTCAAAAGACTCAATACTCAAGACTCTGAGACAAGATTTCTAATACTCCAATGACTGGAAACTATGAAAAATTGAATCAGAAAATTTTGAAGTGACTCTTAGTATTGAAAAGTCAAGATGTTGAGGAACAT